AGCAATCCGTGACGTCACACTCGCCAAGGAGCAGCATGCAGAATGCACGTGCTTTCGTCCTCCACTTCCTTTTATGCGCCCGTCCTTTCGAGCTATTCTTTTCCATATAGTTTCATACAATAATGATTGCGTGAAATTCTATGGCTCTTTCCCCTTCTACAAAAGCGCTGGTGCTTTGCCCCAGCCGGAAGCATTCTGCTGCGGTGGGAGTTGAGCGAGTCGAGAGACGCGGACGACGGCTTTTTTTTTTTTTTTTTTTTGCCCGTTTCGGCTATGTGTGATGTCACCTTCTCTCTAGTTCACGGCGCTGCCGTTAGAAGCAGAAGTTTGTGAAAAAACGCGCTAAATTAATTATTTTACCATAGTTACCGCCTGAAACGAAGGTTGCCTCTATCGATTTCAGGGTCCAATCTTTCGATTTGGCTGAAAATCTTGGCGGCAGAAATTTGTTCAGCATCCCTTTAACGGTGAGGCTGACGTTGGTCGACGAAGGGGCGAAATGTATTGCCGAAATGTACTGTCGTGATATATCCCCTCCAATCCCATTTCTCTGGGTAAGCAACGAAATATTGATTTCTTTCACCAGCGCTTCACGCGACAGAAATCACATGGGACGTCTCACAGACTTTTTTCAAAGCGAAAGACGGGCCACCGATATTCGAGATATTCAGACGGTCGTATTCCCGCATCTACTGAAATTGCACGCGGTATACATGCGATGTTCTACCCGGCCGTGTGTCCGTGGTGCGGTGGTAGACCAATTCTACTATACATCTCGTGGTGGAGCAGGTGCGAAGCCAGAAATTTTTTGCGGGGGTGGGGGGCACCCCCTCGATATGGTAATTTTGTTACCTCTATATGCCGTGACGAAAAAAGAATTTGGGGAGGGGGGGAGTGTACGGACCCGCTGTGCCACCCCCCCCCCCCCCCCCCGGCTACGTCCCTGGGTGGAACGATCGTAAACCAAGCGACTTAGCCAATTTTCTCAGCGAACCTTTAACACCTATTATGGATCAGTGCTTGGGCGTTGGGAGGGGGGGTGCAATGGTAGCACTGGCCATGAAGTGCCGCCAGGACTCCTCGCCAGCGCCGCAGTGTAACACGAGTACACACCTAACTAACCAATTGCTGCCAACTGGAGCCACAACTTGCCAGCTTGGACCCCGGAGTGCAGCTCACGGTATTAACTTAGGCCAGTGGAGCCCTAGACGTAGGGCACCAGCAATATGAGCTCGTAGATACCCCTTTTCCTTGAACTAAGCTCCTCTCTATTTCTCTTCATGAATACAAAACAGTACGTTGTTCGATCTCGGCCTTGCTGTGTTTCTGTGGCACCAAGAGAAAGAAGTGAAGATAGGCAATGCCACGCAATTAACCGAGTATGCGGGTAACTGGTGTTCTATTTAAGAGCAACAGAATTCGCCGAAGCATGAGAAGCACAGCCGATGAAGGCAGAGGATTAGACTGCGTGGTTAAGTCGGCAAATTCGCGGGCATAGACTCGCGCAAGGCTGACTGTTTGGTGAAGGCCATGTCAAGTGGCAATGTGTTTTAGACACTGTCAAATTCAGCCAATGCAAATTTAACCATTAGTCAACTTGGATTGGCCCCATAGTTACGGTGCTTCCCTGATTGGCTTAATACATCTAGGATCAATACATCCAAAGAAAAGGGGAAAAAAAGACGGCTTTGACGTTCAAGTCGTCTTATGAGAATTCTTGGTCAATCCTCACGGTGAGTATGAGCCACAGTAGAAGGTGAACGATAACGAGGATGCATACGACACACTGTGAATTCATTTAAAAGATTTGCGCACTGCTAGCTCATCAGGTGGTGAAACGGGCATGGTTTCAGATTGCGGGCGCTTGCAATAAAGCCTAAATTTTATCATACTCGGCGAATCGCTCGTCGGCAACGAGTTTGCTATTTTCCTCTGACGGCTCCGAGAAACTTTTGGGTGCCGCACGCTGCTGTAAAATGAGTTGTCCCGGTTGAATAACAAACACGTGTTTGACATACCGTGTTCCAAATCTCGTCTATGCGGTGCACCCTTAGAGTAGATGCGTGACGTGTATTTGTTCTCTCGGTTTATCGCGGCTTCCACTCCCAACAGCCATCACGTGCTCTTCGCGGACGGAGGCAAAGTCATCTCGAGGGAGCACCAGGATGATTTAGGAGCCGCAGCGATTGCCTCCATTGTTATCGCACCCCGACTTCCTTCTAACGATTGGCGCTGCAACCGATTGCGCTTCCTTTCACGCAGCGACGAAACGTACGTTTGGCACGAAGACGAGGACACGTAATCCTCTATGATAAAAATTGGGGGAACCCTAAGCTTCGCCCTTCAGAGTTGAACGCGATAGCGAAATCCGGCCCCTAGTGCGCCTTTCAACCGCTAACTCTATACTTATTAATATGTTTTATTACACGCACACAAACGCGCGCAAGCGCGGCGTATCGGACTAATTGACCAATACGTGTTGCCGTTGGACCCTTTTCGTGACAACTATTTGACCAATGCAACTCACAATCAATTGCCCAATAAAAAAAACAATTATATGCGTATATTGGTTCCTATTTGTGACAACAGAATTATTACACACCCAATACAGCTCTAATACACTTCCTATAGAACCAATAGCGATTTTCTCTCGGCTGCTGACCCGCAGGTCACGCGATCGAATCCCGGCTACGACGGCTTCATTTGTATTGGAGGCGGAAATGCTGTAGGCCCGTGTGCTCAGATTTGGGTGCACGTTAAAGAACCCCAGGTGGTCGAAATTTCCGGAGCCCTCCACTACGGCGTCTCTCGTAATCATATGGTGGTTTTGTGGGGTTAAACCCCACATATCAATATCGATCAATAGCGATTTCCTAATAGACCAATAAATAAACCTCAGTTGAGAATTTCGCTAGGGACATATTTGGAGGCCTCCGCAAATTTGGGCTGATTGGGGCTGGCCCATCGTGGTAGTTCAATTAATGGTTATGCATAGGTTAGCGTAGGTGGGCAAAATCATACACGCGTCGCCTCTCTCAGGCTCAGTCATCGTCAGATCGAGCCGCGAGTCTGAGTCGGTCCGAGTTGGCAGTATCTTGGTTACTTTCAGTCCGATTGAAAAGAATTTCACTGAGTCTGAGTCCGGTTGGGGAAAACCTCGGTGGAGCTAAGTGAGCTCTGTGGGTGAAGTGTATTTGACGGGTGTGACTGAATGAGCTCCGCATTTTTCAGCCGGCCTATACGATGGTGCTTTACTGATGACCCAAAAGTCGTGGGATCGAATCCCGGCCGCATTTCGATGGAGACAATATGCTAGAGGCCCGTGTGATTGGACTGACACGCACGTTAAAAAAAACAACAAAAAAACAGGTTTTCCAAATTTCCGGAACCCTCCACTATGGCATTCTGTAATAATGATATCGTGGTTCGGGGATCTAAAACCACAACAATTATGAATCATTATACCATCCAGTGTTCATCATCCAGTGTAACACGCTCTGACATTAAACTCTAAGCGGGCCCCCTGATTGATTGATATGGAAGGTTTAACGTCCCAAAACCACGATATGATTATGAGGGACGCCGTAGTGGAGGGCTCCTAAAAATTTCGTTTACCTGTGGTTCTTTGACATGCTCCCATATCTGAGCACACGGGCCTACACTAAGCGGGCCCTCTAGCATTCCACCTTTAATGGGAATGCAACAGCTGTGACCAGGATCGAAATCGCCGTTCTCGGGTTAAGCCAGCCGACCATGTGACAGTGCGCCGTCGGGGCGGACAAAGAACGCTTCCCAACGTAGTATAGAAGACGTGTTGAGAGTTCTGTACAACACAAGTTCATCTGGGCAACATACCCTGTCGCTTTATGTACGTAAAGGCAAAACGAAAAGTTCCCTACCGACAAATGTCAAAAGCCACTCCCACCACGTGTCACGCTTTCTCAGTGGTGTGAGCAACTGTTGAACAGCATAATAATAGTCGCGGCCGGGCTAGACTGCACCTGTGTACTTGTTGCAGGGAGCGCGCAGGTGCTGTCTAGTCCGGCCGTGTAATAATATCGGGGGTTTTACGTTCAAAAAACCCCCGATATCACCACGAGAGACGCCGTCTAGTGGAGGGCTCCGGAAATCGTACAGGATCGAACGCGTGACCTTCGGGTCAGCAGGCGAGCACCGTAGCCACTGTTCCACCGAGGTGGACGGTTGAACAGTGGTCCAGCCTCAATTCTACTTTAGCATTCTCTGTCTTTGAAACGCCATGCACTTTCGTAGATTCACAGCCACCGTGGCTGACGCAATCTCTGGCATTCAACAACGCGCTGCGCAGATTTTCCGCGGCGCAGATAACGGTGGCCCCGGCGGACACCTTGTATTTTACCTCGTTGTATGGTCCAGCTCGCCGGTGGGAAAATAAGTGACGTGTTGCACACCGCGTACGCACCTGCGTTTAAATGTCCTAGTCACGCGCCAGCTGTCCCAGCAACCGTTGCAAAAATACAGTTCTCCGAAAAAAAAAAAAAAAAGAAAGCCCGGGAAGGCTGATGCGAAGGTGAGCTCACGCACGGTAGAACACCGTACGCACGGCCGCTCAAGCAGAGCAACCATACGCGAAAGTGGACGCATAAGTGTATGCCAAGGCATTTTTATTTCGGCACGTAAGACAGTGTTGGGGGAAATGAAAATTTTAACGTGGACGTGCTTCACCGCTCCCGTGCGTGGAAACGCCCACTTTTTTTGCGGCAGTACCAGGCGCAACATGAATGCGTGTGAAATCTTAATGCAGGAACGCAGTCTACGAAGTACTACGCAACAGAAATAGACAGCACTGATTGACAATCGTAACATGCTTTCCTGTAGTTCTTCAATACGTCTCGCACCTGCCTACTGTGCAAATTTCGGCCGGCGTTCTGGATTATCCTGATTCTCGCGTTTCACATTCCGCGCACTAGAGGGCCGCGTGTCTTTTTTTTCCCTCTCTGACGCCGCCGGCGCGGTACTTTTTTTCCTCGCACCTGTAGCCTGTTGACGCCGCCGACGGAGTGTAGCAGTTGGTGTGGGCGGTACCTCTAAACTACTCGCACGAGACAACAGCGGCAGTACGTAGATTTCGTTTCCACTCTAACGATAGGGTCGGTTTCTGCGCTCGGCGGTGTGGTTTCTCCGTGCACCCGATGCACTTGCCGTATCCGGCGGGAAAAGAGCGTTACGGCTGCAGTAGTTTAGCGTAGGGAGCAGCGTCTACCGACTGAGTGAGTGCCCGCGAAAGAAGCCCACAATCAGAATGTCTACGACACCGGACGCGTTGCCGGCTGAAGCGCCGGCACCCAGGCTCTGCCACCTGATCAAGATCTCCACGTTCGACGGATATGGGTTCAACCTGCACGCCGAGAAGTCGAGGCCGGGCCAGTTCATCGGCAAAGTGGACAGCGGCAGTCCAGCCGAGCTGGCCGGTATGTTGGAAGGTGACCGCATTGTCGAGGTTAACGGCGTCAACATCGCCAGCGAGAGCCACAAGCAAGTCGTAGAAAGGATCCGGGCTGTGCCGAACGAGACGCGCCTGCTCGTGGTGGATAGCGCGACGGACGCATGGTACACCGAGCACAAGCTGGTGCCCCGCTCTACGCAGGATAACGTGCGCTACATTCGGACTCCCACCACCGGTGACGACAGCGACGATGTCGTCGACGGTGGCGTGCAGCCGCAGGCCAACGGACACCACGCTGCTTCAGAGACGGCGACCGAGGAGCAGCAGCCGAGTGCATCGCTTCCGTCTGCCAAGGTAACGTAGACGCCTTCCGAAAGTTCAGTAACGAAAGTTTCATTATTTCTTCGTTTATACAACGTTAAAACACTTGAACTTCCGCTTGGAATTTCGTGATTGTCGCGCCATCTCCTAATGATTGTTGAACTCACAATCGCGTTTAGAGCCAGTTGTGTGTTATATGTTCACAAATATTACCACCCGTAGAGGACGCGCTCGTCTGCTAAATCTGAGTTGAGGCACAGCGATTGAAGTGGCGATTTATCGTTGGAAGCAGAGACCCAGCTAAAGATCTTCAGAACATCGGATGCCACCTGTTGCGCGCCGCATTGAAACATGTGTGAACTGAAACGCCGCATTCTTTTTACGCATAGCTACGACGTGTACGAGAGCGGAGCAGCTGTTGGTAATTCTAGTTTCGCGTCGGGCTTTTTAAAAAGCCTTCACTCTTGTGAACCTCCAATCGGGTGCAACCGGTTGCGCAGGCACCGCGTCATTACTACAGGCTTAGTAGATAGATGACGCGCGAGAAATTAATTTCGCGCGCGCGCTTTGTCACGAAGAAATTTACAGTTAAAGAACGGCGAAGGGGTCTCGTGCTTTTGAAAGCAGATCTGGTAGTTTCGACGGTGATGCGATGACTCTTACAGTATAGTGTCGTTACGTTGATAGCGGATACGTGATGCCGTCTGCGTCGACCTTTTTTACAAGTTCTTCGTATAGTTCACCAATTCTGAGAACTGTGTTTAAGGCGGCGGTCTCACTCCGGCGGCACGAGCACATCGTTTTTGTCACTTTTCCAACTGACGTGGCGGCTGTTCTTCTTGTCTTATATAGTTGGTTTATGTGTCATTGAAAAGCTTAATTTTTGTACATTTCAAACATATCTATTAAAAATAAGTAAGCTTTTAGCATTTTGGTAGGGAGAGCCAAGAATAAGCGCTAGTTACATGGTTTGGTCTGACTGTGTGTCAGCAGTGACCACTTTCTGAAAAATCTGCTGCAGTTACAGCACTGTTCTTTGCGCAGAACATTTAAGACATATTTATCTATTTCCTCAACGTAGCAAATTATTCTAGCACTTTTACTGTATTGCTGATTAGCTTTTGAAAAGAGCCAAATTTAGTAAATGTCGATGCGAACTATCCGGCACCTATTCGCTAGAGAAAATTCATTTTCAGGGTGTATATAGAGGATGTCATTTTCCGTTTGAGTGCTCAATTTTATTTATGTACGCCCGCTCACTTTTTAATTATATTGATCTAAATTGGGCAATATTCTCATTAGATAGACCTACCGTGGCCCATTTTTGCGGAGAACTACTGAAGTTCGTTTGCTGAATTTGCACGTAGATAAACTAGAACCCCTGATCTATTTCCTCAACGTAGCGTTTTTCAATAAAGTAAGCAGAAATGCGAAACAAAGCTCGCGAATTGTCTTAATTTATCGTGCCGTAAACATCAACAAAGTCGTTGTTATCTTGAAATAGCAATGAAATCTAAGCATGCATAGCCTAAACTATAACAGTTACGGTCTCCTGGTATACTTATGCACACGAATCGCACACAACAGCTGCAGGAATATTGAGAAATCTACATTATTCCTATCACTACAACGAAAATCTTCCCCTAGCGCCACCTAAACAAAAATAAGGAAAGCGCTGAATTTGAAGGTTCCCTGTCTCCCCGAATGCGGCGTGCAAAAACATTTTGCCTCAGGAGGAAACGTTTTTTCTAACTTCAAACCATGCACCGTCATCTGTAAGCCTTCCTCCCCTCAGAGTCTCATAAGGCTGCGCGGTACCGCGGGAGAGCGTGAAAACAGGTCGGCAGTATCCTCCGAGAGGGTGGGGTGAGCGTCTTCACGGGAAAAGAAAGGCCGAATTCATGGAAAGTCCCTCTTTTATGTGTGCACGTCTTTGTCGCCCTCCTCACCCCCCACGGACTAAAGCGAAAAGCGAGGGCTGTGCCACGACAGTCAGAAGAAAGCAGAAAAACGAACGACAAACGAGCGATACGAGCGAACTGAGCAGACGTGCGTGAGTAAGGTATTTGTGAATATCTTTTTTTTTTTACCGTGAAATATACGGAGCTTCAGACGTGCTGCGCTTGTTCGTATGAACCCATCACAACAAACAGCACAAACACGAAACGAGGCACACCTACAGGAATGAGATGAAGTCTGTTTTGTACTTTCTGCGTGTTTATTTCATTTATTTACTTTGGGGAAAACTACGGTGCGGCAGGAGTTGAGGACGCGTGTTCGCTTTCCGCCTTTATATACGACAAGCGCACATTTCCATAGCGCCGAAATGCGCGAACACCAATGTTCTGGAGTACCCCATGACGGCGTTCCTCATAATCACTGCAAACTCGCTCTAAGGGGACGCGGGCGCTTGCAAACTCTTCCCTCGAAGTCAGCTGTGAATATCCGTCATCGGTTTCAATAAACCACAAAACCGAGCAATATTTATTCCGTTGCTCACTGCATAAACTGGCTAAAATCATGCTACTGCCTGAAAATCTTGCAGATTTTTCAGCCAGTAACAACGAAGCGAAGTGGCATGAAATTTGCTGAATGCACGGCGTGGTGTAAGAAAGTACTTCGGTGCGGGGACAGCAATGAGGCACCAGGGCTCTTGTTTTTTTCTGCTTTGAAGCACCCGCGACAAGTGAGGTCCTTCAGGGAGGCAGAAAGGCGGATAACTTTTGACTATGCTCCCACTGAGCAGGTCTGGTGGGGGAGCGGCAGTGGTGAAGCCCATCTACATTTCCTGTGCACTGAAAACTTGTTGGTTTTCTTCGGTGCCAGTGTACAACACCATGCGACAAGGCACCCTGCCGACGCTTTCGCCTGAAGGAGAGAGAGAGAGAGAGAAAGGCAAAGGAAAGGCTTATATGATACCCTACACGGGGAGGGGGAAGGGGAGAAAAACAATAGAGAAAAATGTCAAGGACATGCGGCACCTGCTGACAATTCGTCATTAGGAAGTCTGCTGTGCGGAGAACTGTCAATGCGTCAAGATAGCAGCTCCTTGACTCGTTAGCGTGAGTCATAAGGCTGACGAGTAGAAATAGCCGATCTTGGACTTACGCCTAGTAGCTCAAAAAGAACAGAAACGTTTCTGAAAGGGATAAGTTTATAAGAAAGTGTGGTGACATCGGTGTGCATAAAACACGTTTACATGAGTGCGAAACATGCGCTTCGCATTCATGTAAGCAATGGAAGGCGCATTGCACTAATGCGTAGGAAATGGGCAGTTTTGCGAGTGCCGGTCGATTCACGGGCCGTAAATCACGATGAGGGGAATGGTGGCCCCCCGTTGTGCGAACTTCGTGCGTCCCTCTTTCGCTATAAGGAATTTATTAATATTAGCTCAAGAAAACAAAAAACGTACGTTCGAGAAAGAAGTGGGACGAAGCAGAAATGTCGGGAGCTGAGATATTCCTGCCTCCCGCCACTCCTTTCTCAAGTCATTGTTATTTTGCTCGCGCTAATATGTACCTATTTATATAGTGGTTGATGACGCAGAAAATTGTGCGAATTTCTGTTTCCCGTGCTCGAGGCACGACTAAGCTAATGAGTTATTTTTTTTAGTTCTTTTACATAAACCAACTCGCCCAGCTACAAGTCGCTGTAATCTGATACTCGCTCGCTGTAATCAGACACCACATGGTAGCTGCGGCGTACAGAAGACGAGAGGTCCTGCAAACGGCGTCGCATCACCTTTCCGAAACGCGCTTGCAAAGTCGATGGGCTACTCTGGCATTCGTGTAAAATTGATTACAGCCTGACAGCTCGAAGCAACTGCCAGTCAGTTGGCTGCCAGCTGGGGCGACTAACTTCATTCAACAAGAGGCCGGCACGCCGTCTCCACGGTTGTTGGGAGTGGGGTCCAGTTCCTCTTTCCTCGATAAGAAAGCACGTTTGCGTATAGCCGGGCGTCGACAGTTTGCCGTAAGCCGGCACGACAACTGGCGCATCACGACCATGTAAACGGGGGTAATGCGCTAGAAAGATGTATCCCACAAATGCGCCAGGCAAATCTGGATTTCGAGGGGTAAGTCGACCCAGAGTACTTTTCACGACAAAGGAACGCCGACCACTCGTCGTGTTGGTCTTGTGTGCACTTCTCGCACACTACAAGACATCTGCGAGAACAGAAAGCAAGAGCTTCTCGGGACTAAAGTCCACTAAATTTTTCTTTTTTACCTAAGCAACGACAACTGCCTCCTCTCCCGACCCTCTCTCACACACAGCCGGTGGCTGCCACCATGTGCTTCCTAACTAGGAAGACTTCCAAAGCCACGTACGTATAAGTAAATTAGCCACGCGCCTATCAGTGAACATTTGTGCGAACGCGACGCGCCTTTCCCCTCTAGCTAGTCCCCCGTCAATAGTGAGCGAGGAACGCGTTTTACCAGGTACCAAGAAGGGGTGTCCGAGGCGACACCACTAACATCTGAATAGTCTAGATGGCCTCGCACGAGGGCAGGAGATTTGGAATAACAGCCACTATGCTAGCCTGAAGGTGCGAGGCAGCATGACGAGGGGGGAGGCGGACTGAGTGAGGATAAGGACGGACACAAAAATGCATGCTCAGCACGGAAGGTGACAGTGCTGTAGTAGCGTGAGACACTAGAGATAGAACGCATTTCTGCCGCATCCTCTGGTGTCCACTGCTCGCGTAGAGGGCTTCTTTAGAGTTAGCTTAGCGTGCGCTGCGAGTGCGTGTGGGAGTACCTGCAGCACAAGTGCCTTGCCGGGCTTCACATGAGTCATGACAAATCATAAGGATAGAGCTTCACGGAAGAGGAAGAGAGCCGCCATCGCGGCATGTCGAGCACGGGCAGCAGCTGCATTTTCACACCATTCAAGGTAAGACCATTTCGATTACTGTGGTTTCTTTTGATAATAAAAGCGCGAAGCTACAGCAGCAAAAAGAAAAAAAAACATTATAGAAGCCTATTCTTGATACGGTGGCGAGCTCGTTTTGTACCCCAGACGCAATGTGGGCT